AATTAGAGGACCTGACCCTCCACGCAGTGGTGGGGCAGATGCCGATTATGAAGCCCTGACGAGTATAGCTTTGCTCAATATTACCCCTTAGCGAGGCCGCTGCATCACGACGAGAAGGACAGCACTAACCGAATTTGTCGTCCTTGGGCCATCGACCACCACAAAATGGACTCCAACATGGACTTCCAGGAGGGTTGCATCGTGCGGAGCAAAGGTTACGGTTGGCTGGAGGCAAGGCTGTGTGGGAAAGAAAGACATTTGCCGTCAGTAATTCCTGTTTGCTGTGCATTGGAATCCCGAGATTCTGCCGCTCGTGCTTTTCCCCTGTCCGCTCGATTCTTGCGATATTTGCTCTAATGAATATCCAGGAGTCGAAAGGGCTTGATCGGTTGGCGGCTAAGCATCTAGCCGTCTGTACCGCATCAACCTCCTCGGACATTGAAGGCAAGTCGCGGCTCAAGAGTTGGAGGGCCTTGGGTGAAACTCATTTGGCTGCACCTTTCCGGAGAATAGGGACTCGCGTCAGCCTCTCGGTCGTCGTGTCAGCATCACGGCGTTTCGGTGATCCGACGGAGACAACCTCTACTTGCACACAATCGAAACTCATGATCGCGCAAGTTCTTACCGTTAACGTTAGCGTCACCCAAAGGCGACTTATCACCTCTGTCAAGATCTTGGAGCAGGAGAAGGTGCATTGCGGACTGCGCCCTTGATTGGCCAGGATGAGGCTGGGGTTGTGGTGCCCTGAGCCACTCTTTCCTTTTGAGCTTTTGGAGGGGTAACTTTGGGGAGGAACGAGACGGCAACGTGAATGTCGCTTGCCTCAATGGGGGAATTCGGGGTGAGAGACACCAAGGAAGGCTCGAAGAACGATAGTAGGTATTGCATTCCCGTCTCATTTCAGGAAGAGTCCTTTGTGAAGAAAGTCAGAAATCCTGTACTATTTTACACAATTACCTCGTAACATTAGAAGTTGATAATGTCGCAATAGCTGGTGCAACTACACTTCGAAGTAGAGAAGTGCAGTTGAGAGTGCCTTCTTGAGAAGTGGTTCCGGGAGTTGCCGTGCCAGACTTGATGTGCTGAATCCTACCATAATCCTGACTCTTACCAAATGGTCTTGGCCATCACAACACAGACAAAACTGGATTGAATTCATCAACATTTTGGTCCTTCCTCAACCGCAACATCGGGTTGTTGCGGCATGCGGCGACCTCATGGCTCTGGAGGTCGGACAGGACCGAGAGAGAGCTGTGCCATTTCTGAAGGCAAGACACAACCAGCAGGCAAAGCGGCGCATCACGCTCCCTATCTGCTGCCGACATCAATCGACTCAATCGAGACATGGCCTGTTGTGCACTGATGCGCCGATGCCTTGGGCAGCAACCAGAAAATTTTACACCTCCATATGTACATCTGCGGTAGCCAGTCAGGTCCGCAGCCACATACCCAATTGCATGTTCGGCCATAGAACGGTCTGGATTCATCAGCCAGCTTGTCGACGTCGACGTCGATGTTGGACCTTGCCCTAGTTGGTCATCCGAAACCAAATGTCCATAATGTTACGGCAGGTCCATCTCGGCTCCTTGCTCATTCATGCACACGCAGGCCTTTTTTCGCCTAGTGCATCACACTGCGTCGTAGTGTAGAAACGGAACTTCCCTATGGTTTAGGCGTTAAATTTGGCATCAGACTCTGCTGATTGTTTTCAGTACCTACTCGGTTAAAGATACGGACATTCGCCGCTTGTGCGGCTTGTCAAACGGACGAAAGATAAGAGGAAAGTCAATGCAACTTCTCAGACATCGCGCTGCCTGGCGTATACCGCTCAACCATACGAACTATATACAAGCTCGTTGGGTGGTATCGCATCCTGGTCAATATATATGGACATGCGATTTTGGCCGGCCGAAGGGCCTTTCTAGGATGGGTTAGAAAGAAGCGCACGGGAAGGATGCGGCACGACGAGAAGGCAAGGGCTGCATACCGCCTTTTTCGGCAAGCCGAGTTACGTACCGCCGGGATCACAGCATCACTTGTGACGGGAGACCTCGCCGGGTTATCCCCCTGATGGATCTCGCTGATTTTGTTTTAGCTTCCGCCAGCATGGACAGAGAGACGAACGATGCCGAACCAGATCTCCCGTTCCTAGACAGTCCTAGTCCAGTCCCACTCGCTATGCAGATCCAACTCAGCTGTTACCGTGCCAGTCGTGCTGCCATCTTCCACACATCTACGGATACGGTTGGAGGTTTCAAGCCTCAATAAAGCTAAGTGATTGACATCCTCGACTTGGGCGAAGTAAAGCCCTTCAGTTGTTTACGCACCAGCGTTGTAAGGAGCACTCCAGTCATTGATTGGTATTGGCGAGGTGCTGCAAAACCAGAATGGAAACTTGAAATGGAAAACAGCCTGAGCTTACTGTAGAATTGAACGTTTGTTTCCTGAATACGCATGTACCTATCCAATATCAGTGGATGAGTGGGTGTAGTACAAAACGCGCATCGTCAACCGTCGAGCACAGGCGAGGTTAACGCCACGTTGTAACACTCTGCTGGATGTGATACCTACTTAGCGACAAAAGATGAGAAAAGACCAAATGTGTTGACGTCGGACAAACTGGAAAAGCCTGTTATTGAACTGGGTGTAGTGGTAAACGTCTGTCACCTGTCTTTCAACTGTTAGCAGATCAAAGCCGGAGAGTGATCGTGAAACGAGGCTCCAACTCTGAAGAGGCTCTCCGCCCAACAATTTCCAACATCAACACCCCTGCAAAGTGTGTTCACGGCGCAACGCCAGGGCCAAGCAACTCACAGGGGAGGGAGGAGGGGTCCGCCAATCATTGCCCGACTGGGTTTGGCTGCGATAAGCTCGGTCCCTCCTTTTCGCTAGCCACATTGCCTTGTGTGACTCCACCTTGGTCTTGGCGATTTGGCTGCTCTGTCGAGATGCTGGGCCAATGCCTCGCTGCAGTGCTGCAAGTTGTTTCGCCCTTGGCCCAGCCAGTACGGACCAGTGTCGTGTGTACAGTACGGAGTGGCCTTGTAAATTTTCCAAGACTTTGGCATTCCGGTCTCGCTTGCCCAACGCTCGGTGAACCTGGCGGCTTTGGTTTTTCTCTGTCCAGATGATTGTATCAATCTCGTTTGTAATCGAAGTACACCAATACACCTTCTATCCTTACGGGGATTGCTTATGGTATCTCGTAAGAACAGCGATTACTGAGCGAAGTATGAGTGGTCACAGTGGTGCCCTCAAACCAAAAGGGAATTGCCCTCAGCACTGCCTGCACGATACACAGTGCCAGACCAGAAATGACGGTACAGTCTAACCTGCAGATAAGAACACGAGCCATAAGAATAACCTGGGCATAAGAATAAATTTCCAGCTCCCGAGCGTTTTATTATGGGACATAAGAATAACCTGGGAAACGGAATTATTCTTACAGATCTGCTTAGTAATATATATATATTCTTATGTCTGGGTAGAACAAGCCTGGAAAAGTCACGAAAATTGGTGAAATAGGGTAGGGAATGGGGGTGTGATGGGTGCTTGTTAATGGGATTGTGGGGTAGGGTTGGGGTTATATATAGAGGGTTGGGTTATATGTGGGACCTGGGATTAAGAATAACCGGGGTATAAGAATCAAAAGGGCCGTCACGGACATGATTCTTATGTGCAGGTTAGACTGTAGTCGCACTGTGCACCTTAAGCACTGCAGTGCAGAATGAGAGACCGTATTAACCTTGATTATATACTGTGCTTTCAGGGTGAGGTTGAGGCCAATTTGATGATCAGCGCACTGTGTATCTGTCGTCATTGGCTCCATACCGTACCTTACCGTACACGTACGCGGGTAACAAATCTACCTACTTTTGTGACTTTTGTCACTGGCTCCGACGCCGCAGCAGCTTTCGCAGGCCGCAGCCCACTTTTCAATATGAGCAGCCGCTCGCCTTCCCGGGCCACAATCTGTGCGTCGCTCTCGCCTCTCTGAATGTAGCGTACTGTACGATGGAGCCGCTCCATCGCCGGGCCCTTCGTTTCCCTTGACACCTCATCATCGCTTTGTCTCCCGTCTTTTACAGCGAAATTTCGTTTTGATTCGACTTTCTTGCTTCAACTTCTCACCACATAGCAACACAATGGCTGCTTAATTGCAGACTCGATCGCACCAGACGCCTGTGACGGACCCGCCAGTGCCCGAATTCACACTCCACTTGGTTGCAACTCGCAGAACGAAGACGTCGCTGTCCGGTCCAGCTCATTGTCCAGCATGAGGGTCCCCCAAAGTGATTTCCAACCAGATTCCTACCATGGAGCCTCAACAGTCGCAACCGCCTCATTCCCGCCCGCCATTGCATCCTCATCTCCACAGCATCCGGCCGCCTTCACCGTTGAACATCCCGCATCGGACTACCAATAGCACGCCAGTATCGTCGCCGGGTCTCTTCAGTCCGACCCTCCCCCGCTCGACTATGTCTCTGCCGCCTTCGCAGCCGGGCTCCGAGGCGGCGACCCCCGGCGGCGTCAACACACCTCTTTTGCACCCGCTGCAGGGACACAAGGTTCGAGAGTGAGTCTAACTGACAATTTCTATTCCTATTGCATGCACGGCCGGCCGGAAGAGAAGCATCGCCGGGCTTTGCCGGTAGAGACATACCCGATGCGGACAATGACCACTGACAGACTTCTCTATCAGGACGCACAAGGCGAACGTCGAACACGACATCACAACGGGTCGGAAGTGTATCAATAACTATGAGATCATTGAGGAGCTCGGTCGTGGCATGCATGGCAAGGTCAAACTCGCTCGGAATATGGACAATGGCGAGCTTGTGGCCATCAAAATCATCCCAAGGTTTTCCAAAAAGAGACGGCTTGGCAAGGTAACGGCAATGTCCACTCAGGACAAGAGCAAGCGGGAAATCGCCATTCTGAAGAAGATACGCCATCCCAACATCGTCGGCCTCCTCGAAATCATTGACGACCCTGAGCTCAAGAAGATATATATGGTACTTGAACATGTCGAGCTAGGCGAGGTGGTGTGGAGAAAGAAGGGCCTCCCTCATATCTGCGCATTCGAACGACGCCGTGTCGAGAGGGAGATGCGGGGTGAGAACCCTACACCCGAGGAAGAACGGTATGAGCGCCAGATGGAACAGCGTCGAAAGCTGAAGGATTCTGTGAGGGTAAGGAAGGCAGCTAAGGAACTTGCGCCGGCTCATGACTACTGGAGCCTTGAGTACGGCCCCAACGAGGACGAGGAGTTTGAAGACGTCGACACACGTTCCGACTCCTTGGCTGGTTCCAGAGCCACCTCACGAGCACCTTCTCGGACGCATTCAACCAAGTCCCTTCCTAGAGCCGGGACCTCTCATCCAGCCGAATCGGACCTCGCCTCGATACCCAACGATACCGAGCTTGAGCTGCCCGGATCCCTGACATCCAACGCCGGCTCCTCCACGGCACTTGAAGGAACCATGTACGGAGCGTACGTGGAGGATCCCATCGTGCGAGAAAGGTCGCCCAGCATGGCCGATTCGATCATCTCGCACATGTCGTCGGTGGACTATAACAGGGTCCACGATCCCTTTGTGGATGACTTCTCTTACGTGCCGTGCTTCACGATGGAACAGGCCAGGAACGCGTTCCGCGACACAGTCTTGGGTCTGGAGTACCTCCATTACGAGGGCGTTGTGCACCGGGACATCAAACCGGCGAACCTCCTTTGGACCAAAGAGCACCGTGTCAAGATCGCCGATTTTGGCGTGTCCTATTTTGGGCGGCCGGTCCGAGACGGAGAGCCCGACGATACTATCTCCGAGTCCGAAGCCCGCGATTTCGACAATGACCTTGAGCTTGCCAAGACAGTTGGCACTCCGGCCTTTTTCGCGCCCGAGCTTTGCTATACCGATATGCACAATAATCGCCCCGGCGTCCAGCCCAGGGTCACTGAACAGATCGATGTCTGGTCCCTGGGTGTCACACTCTACTGCCTAATCTTCGCCCGTATCCCGTTCCTAGCCGAAGACGAGTGGCAGATGTTTAGGAAGATCGCCAACGAGGACGTTTACATTCCAAAAAGACGCCTGAAACCGGTTGACCCTTCCACCAAACCGATCGAAAAGTCGCTTTATACACGCGTCAACAAGCCGCCGTATCGTCACGACGATGAGCTCGCATATGAAGACATCGACCGGGAGCTCGAGGACCTACTCAGAAAGATGCTTACCAAGAACCCGGAGAAGAGGATTCGCTTGCGTGACGTGAAGCGACATCCCTGGGTGCTTCAGGGCATGGACCTCATGTCCTGGCTGGACGACACTGACCCTTCACGAAGAACATCCGGTCAAAAGATCCAGGTTGATGACCGGGAAGTGGCCCGTGCTGTGGTTCCCCTGACCTTCCTTGAGCGCGCAAGGTCGGCGGTCAAGAAAGCAGTGGGAAAGGTAATGCATCCTCGCGGGGAGCGAACCGAGAGCGTATCGTCGCGGCGGCGCGCTACCAGCAGCGCCACCAGTTCTGCGGGTGAGAGCGGCATCGCAACCGGCCAGAATACCCCCAACTATCGCGATGCACGGCGCAAAAGCATACGACCGGATGATAGCTATTTTGGCACCTCGCAGCCGTCAAGCGAGCATCCGCTAACACAAAGCGTGCTGGCCAGTCCGCAAGATGAGTCCCCCGGGGCCGTGGCCGCTTCATCTGTGCAACAAGCATCATCAGCTACCAGGCACACATCCCGCCAGCTGCTCGAGCTGGTGACTAATCTCTCCGCGAGGGAAGAGCAATGGGACCGGCCTTCATCCCCCTCACCTCACAGGTCACTCCGACATGGCCATGCTCGGTCCATCACAAACGCTTTTCTGTCACTTACTCCGGACCCGATTGAGACGCAGACGCTCCCACCCACCCCACTTTTCAATGCTTCTTCAGAGGACCCTATGAATGCGTTAAGGAAGTCCCGCGACATGAAGCCTACCGCAGAAGAGTCCGGACGAGCACGATCCGTTGACCGCGGTCTGTTCGCAAGCACCGACAAACGCGCCGAAGCCAAGGTTTCGCTGAGCACGGCTGTCGCTCCAGGCAACGTGCTTCGCCCCCGCCCTGTACGCTCGATTGAACTAGCAAAGGGGCTAGAGCGGGCTCCCTCCCCGAAAGTGCCCTTGACTTCTTCTGGTTCCTTAACAGGGTACCAGCACGGCCAATTCAAGTCTGATCCCAACATCCACAACAAGCAGTGTGCCCTTGTCGAGTTGGAAGAGAGGCCCGTGACGGCTCACCGTGTCAAGGACTTCGGTGCCGCCAGAGCATTGCAGCATTTCCAACACAAGCCGTCGAACTCGGAGCCAGCTAGTGCCGCGTTTGAAAACGGAACCCGACCCCTTTCCCCTGACGATGAGACATTTCACCCGCTGCCGCTTTCCCGGGGTGAGACTATTGCGACTGGCAAATCGTCGAGCTCAACTTCGATGGGCGCACTCATAACGCCGTTGACAAGCCCTAGTGAGTCGGCGAGCCCGATCTATGGGCTCAATGGCCGCATGGCCAAAGAGGCTACGAGCCAGATGCTCGCTTTTCAGTCAGACCCTTCGCTGCCGGCCCTTCTTAGCAGCACCAGCTCGGTATCGGCGGACCTCGAAGGCGAATTTCTCTGTAGTCCAGGACTCCTCGAACGGTCCTCTGTGATTGACACCACCGACTCTCTCACACCTCCGGCCTTTACGAAGGAGCATGTGTCGGGATTTCCGCTCGAGCAGACGGAGGAGGCCTTGGCGAGGGATGGGGTAGTTGCCGTAGAGCTGGACGAGGCTGCAACTCGACTGGCAGTAGGGGGTAACTCCCCTACACACCGGCCGAGAGAAGCGCGCAGTTACACGGACAATCACGACGATGACAGCGACAGTGATGAGGGGCTGACTATGGCCTCTGCTAAGCCGAAGTGGAGGACGAGCGAGACTCCCAGAGACGCGACAGCATCGCCGTCGACGGGGAGGTTGTTGGCCGTGGGGAGCGCGCGGCGCAGAGACACGAACGCAAGCATTGGCAGCACTGAAACGGCCAAAAAGCTCGTCGTGGATAGCGACTGAGCCGAGTTGTCAGTTCAGATTGTGCTACTGATGAGAGCAGCCATGTTCAATACATGCTGCTATGTCCATTCAGTGTCGGAGCTTTGTCTGGTTATCAATTTCCTCTCCATTCAATATCTCTCGACATGGGTTTTACTTCTGGGCTTATAGAAATTGGGTTTACGGACAGACTGCCAGCATTTTCGGCGATCTCGGCGTTTTCATCACAAATGTCTCCTTTTCGGACAGCGTTTGCAAGGCATGGCACGGGCATAGGCGGGCGGGCGGTTGGGAAAGGATGAGAAACGGGATGATGTGAAGGATGATGGGAGCATGTTAATGGATGAATCTGGCTTTTTATATACCATGCAGACGTACCGATCAAGGACGGCTTAATGTCGGGTTTTTATGTGTTTTGCTGCCTCTTTGCAGGTAGATTGATGGAAGATGAATTGGAAGTTTGTCGATTATGTTGTGAGGCTTGGCTTCTCAGGCGGTGGTTGATGGGCTGTTAGCCCGGGTTCATTTCGGTTTCTTGTATTCAATTGTTCATTGTTGGAAATCCTTGACTTGGGGTTTGGCATGGGGGAACTTGGAAAAGGAAAGGGCAGGACAGGGCAATCTTTTTCCTCGAGGCGATAAGAGAGAAGGGAATGGATGGGTCAAGGTTGGCAACCTGGTGTTGTCCCCTGGATTTCGATCTCTCCCCCTTTACAGGGCTGACTGCCGCTGTGTCTGGCTCCCTCTATGGCTGGATGATGGACTTGGTCATTTGCTTCCCGCTTCTCTGTCCATAATTCAAGACTTCTTTTTCCCCATTATTTCTTTGTTTTTGTCGTTGCTATTGGTTACACCTCTCACCTTTGCAAACACGGCATTCATAGAGAATGGGAGGCTTTCTGACGAAGTTCATTGCATACATACGTATGGAATCGGATTGGGCTTGTTGTGTTTACTTGGTTACATACGTGGTGGATGTTGCCCTTCCAGGTCGAGGGTTGGGCTGACAGGGGCTGACCTGGGTATCTACAGTAGTTTTACTGGTATTTGTTCCTATGGAAAGAAACACAGACTGAAAATGATGAACAGAACAACTGAGTGGCTATGCTATCCCATTTGTTGGGCTAGCACGGCTTCCACGGTTATCGCTGATTTATGATACTGATCCCACATTTACTAAGCTATGTTATGTGCGTAGTGTGTTGTGATGACGCTGATCGACATGATGGTTTCTCACTATGTATTTCCAAGTTTGTTGGTCTGATGAGTCTGACCGATAGATCGGATCAGGCCATGTACACTAGTAGTAGTGAGTACGTACAGTACCTTTCACTCGGATCCAGGTTGGCTTGTAACTACGGAGTACCTTACCTATCGTGTTGGCAACTTTGCCATCGCGGCCAGTTTCGGCTTTAGGTTTTTGCTGTGTGTGCCAGGATGGCGGTGAGACAAGGTAAGTAGGTCCAGATCTGACAGCCTGTCTTCGCGCTACACTTGAACTAGAATAGTGAACCTTTTTTACGAAGTACTCTTCCGGAGTCGGATCTCGCCTTCGCCCTCGTCAGCTCGTCTGTCTGGGTCTGGGGGAAGGAAATGCAGGGACCTGTGATGAGTGCAGGACGGGTGAGCATGTGACCACCTGACCACCTTTTTGGGTGCCAAGGACTCGGAAGATTGTGAGTGATGTTGTGATGATGGCGTTGGGCGCTAGGAATCTACCACAGTAAGACGGATGGGTACTGTGTAAGTTACCGTAAGTAGGTATTGTATTTGCGGTAGGTGATTTCAGTCGCAATCTCAGCAATCTCATCAACCCCGCCATTTGTGATGAACAGGATAACTATGATGTAATATTCAGAATTTGGCGTCGAGCTCCACCGGCTTCGACAGGGCTTGGGCCGAAGAGGATTTCAATTGGAAGCTTTCATGTCGTGAGCAAGCCTGAAGAGCTTCAGACATCCAAGTCTAATGCACACTTCCGAATTGTGTTGTAGATGGGTGGAGGTTTGATGTTAGCAACTCTACCTGGGACATCCGGAACACTCCACGGAGTAACTTCAACACCTACTGGGCCTCGAGCCCCTGAATATCATTAGAGTACTGTAGGCTCAGCGGCAGGATTCAGTTGTTCATTGGGATAGCATGTCCCGTAGCTGGCAACTGTCATCTTAATTGATATGGCTAGGATTGCTCTTTTACGCTATGTGTATATTGACATGTCGTGGGCTTCTCCAAGATAGTGAAGTCCGGAAGACTTACATAGAGCTTGGCAAAGACGTTAACGGTAAGCCGAGCTAGCGAATTAATGCCAAGACTGCTGCTCATCGCCCCACATTTTGAATCTCGATGGCTCGGGCCAATTGGGATTCGTCTTTTTGACCACATCTGCTACAGCACCTCCCAGACCTCAGGCCAGGGGTAACAATGCCGTCGCCACCATGCCCGACGACAAGAAGCCGCAAAGCAAGACAATAGTCTTTTTGCACCCGGATTTGGGCATTGGCGGGGCAGAGCGGTTGGTAGTGGACGCGGCCGTGGGACTGCAGAAACGTGGGCACAAGGTCGTCATCTTCACAAGCCACTGCGATCCCGCCCATTGCTTTGAAGAGGCCCGAGATGGTAACCATTCCTCTTGTCTCGGTCTGCTTTTTCGTACCTTGAATCATAACTGACGTTTTCCTGACAGGCACCCTCGACGTCCGCGTGCGCGGCAACACGCTCGTTCCTCCAACACTCCTAGGCCGCTTCTCCATTCTGTGCGCCATCCTGCGCCAGGCGCACCTGATTCTGCAAATCGCCCTCTTCACCTCCGAGCTCGCCCGCCTCAGCTCAGACGCCTTCTTCGTCGACCAGCTCAGCGCCGGCCTTCCGCTGCTCAAAACCCTGTGCCCGTCGGCCCCAATCTTCTTTTACTGCCACTTCCCCGACCTGCTCCTGGTCCAGGGCCGCGCCCGCCCGTGGAAGCGCCTCTACCGCATCCCCTTTGATTGGCTCGAACAATGGAGCATGGGCTACGCCGACGCCATCGCCGTGAACTCGGCCTTTACCAAATCCATCGTGTCTCGAACCTGGCCTAAACTGGCGCAAAAGCGCGACTTGCAGGTTGTGTACCCCTGCATCGACACCACCACCACATCCTCCTCCTCCGCCACCGCCAGCAAAACGGACAATCAGCAAACAGCAACCGACAACGCGCAGCCATTACCAACACAACCCCTCCCCTGGAAGAACCACGGCCTGCTCCTCTCAATAAACCGCTTCGAGCGCAAAAAGAACATCGCCCTGGCCCTGCACACCTTTGCCCTCCTCCCCCAAACCCCCAAAACCCGCCGCGCCAAGCTGGTCCTCGCGGGCGGGTATGACCACCGCGTAGCCGAGAACGTAGCCTACCACACCGAGCTGTGCGCGCTGGCTGACAGCCTGGGCCTGAAGCACGCCACGGCCAAGACGCTCGTTTCAGCGCTGAAGCTGATGCGTGACGACGACGACAATGATGATGATGATGATGACGGCAAGGGGGATGGGATCAGGGTCCTATTCCTCCTGTCGGTGCCCACGGCCTTGAAAGAATTGCTACTTGCCTCGGCTACGCTGCTGCTCTATACGCCCAGGGATGAGCATTTCGGGATTGTGCCGCTTGAGGCCATGCTTCGCGGCGTGCCGGTGCTTGCGGCGGATAGTGGCGGGCCGAGGGAGACGGTTGTTGATGGGGTGACGGGGTGGTTGAGGGATCCGGGGAGGCCGGAGGAGTGGACTGAGGTTGTGAGGAGGGTTTTGGAGGGGGAGGTTGGGGAGGAAAAGTTGGAGGCTATGGGCAAGGCGGGCAGGGAAAGGGTGAAGGAGAAGTTCGCTGAAGGCCAGATGGCGGAAAGGTTGGAGGGGATCTTTGAGAGGATGGTGGATAAGCGGATGATGGATTCCCTCGCGGCTTCGGATCCGAGGGCGATGTTGGCGTCGCTGGTGCCGGTGTTCTTGGCGGGGGTGGTTGCGCTGGGAGGGCTGCTTGCTGCTGTGGTGATGCGGCGGGGGTAGTAAGAGTAAGATTCACGGTAGTGTTGTAAGAGAGCCTACCTCAAGTGGTTTTCCTGTTGTTCCTCCATTCCAGTGTCAGAATCGTGACAAGTACCGCATCATGTTTCTCACCTTGTCCTAGCACACCCAATTCACGTGAACAAAACAAGAGCCGCACAGTCACGCCTGGTGCAAAGGAAGTTAAGAGATGCAGTTGTATTATCATCCGTACCATGCGGGAGAAAGTTGAATGTCCACCTGGCGTAATGAAGCCGGTCATACCTAAACAAATCCGTACCATCCGTGCCGCGAGGCAAAGCAATCCATAATTGAGTCGATATCCCAGCCGATCAAACCCTCCAAACCTCCCAAACTCCAGTCCATTCCAGCCCGTTCCAGACCGTCCAGTCCTTTTGGTACGCCCCGCCAAACGCCCAGAAAGTCCCTTGTGCCGCTAGGAAAATGGGGAGTGCTGAAAAATGTCGGTTCATGGTGGTGATGGGTATCGATCGTCGTATCGAGAAACCCGAGCCGAAAACTTTTAGAGTCCCAAGACCCAAGAGAGAGAGACCAACCGAGAGAGAAGATATGTGTGCTGAGCTGAATGGGCAGAGGAGGGTATCGATGCGAGAATATCCCTTCGCATCTTCCAAAGTCCTCTAATTAGTACAGGAGGATATCAATGCGGAAAAATCCTCGCATCTTCCAAGGTCCTGTAGGTGCCAGGGGGAAACCTCTCAACAAAGGAGAGAGGGGTGTGTCAACCAGCTGGTGCCCGTAAGTCGCTCGCAGTAAGTGTGGTGTGCCCTGTGTGTTCTGTCCATGACAGCTCCATCGTGTACTTGAGCCGTGCCAGAGGAGAATGAGAGCGCATACCCCAGTGCCATGCAGTTGGCGGCGAAATCCCTGAAAGATAGGGGCGAGAATCTTTACCCCAGCGCCAACGCCGAGAGAACAACGCCGAGAAGAGAGATCAGATCGCGGTAAGATCAGATCGCAGTAAGATCAGATCGCGGTAAGATCAGATCGCGGTAAGATCAGATCGCGGTAAGATCAGATCGCGGTAAGATCAGATCGCGGTAAGATCAGATCGC